CAGCATTGCCACTTACTGCATGATCTTTTGAAGGTCACTCAGTCTCTTTATGCTTCAAGGTGTGGACAAGCTAAACAATTATATCATTTTAAAAGTAAAGAGAGAAGATGCTTAAATTAGCCCAGCTGAATCCTTTTAATGGTTTCATCCATTCATTCCTATCCCACATAAATGGAAATTAAACCATGCAGCTTACCCTTGAAAGCAACTGGGTTAATTTACCCTGGCTTAGCTTCAATTACTGTGGGGTAGGAATGGACAGATGAAACAATCATGGCTTATCTGATATAATCTCACAAGCAATAAGTCCCTCCTCTCAAAGCAGTACAGTTGTCCGTCTGTCCATGTCCTCAGTTTCCTACTCTGCAACATGACCTAAAAATACCCATCTTTATTAAGCACTTTGAAAACCTTTCATATACATGGATGCTGTATGAATAGGAAAAGCTGTTCATTTTTAAAAGTGATTTCATATAATCAGTTACCATTTTTATTATTTAGAAATACCACTTAAATGTTAAAGTGCTGCTGAAAATACTTATTACTATGTGTTTTTATGTTTGCTGAGGACCCGTTTAATCAAATTAGATATGCTTCCTTAGAAACATCCAAGACAAACTACTCTTTAGCTTCTTTTTCCACTGTCTCAAGGAACTTCAATATTTGCACAAGTCCTGGCTCAGTTCACCTGTCTTTAGTGGTGACTCAACCTGGAACATTAAAGTGCCTTAAAGAGCCAATATATTGGCCAAATGCATTAGGAAATATCATAGAACTATGAACTACATCATTGTGGGTCTGTTGTGTCAGCTTTTTCTTTGTGTAGTGAGCCCATTCTTTCTTTGAAAAACTGTGATTCTTACTAGCACTGTCAATAGACATGAAACTTTCAGTCGTCATTCCCATGTCACTATGTGCCAACTAAGGAACAGATGGTGCTTTCTAAAAGTTTCCTTCAAAAGGATTCTGGACACAAAGCCAGGATAGTGATTCTGTTGGAGGAAGTCCCTTCCACAGCTTGTCTCAAGTACAGATTAATGCTGAAGGCATCAAAATCATAGGCTTTGTTGAAAAAGGGATGAGAAGAAATACTGGAATTGCTTCACTTTGTATTAATATTATGTGCACATGCAGTAACTTGATTATATGAAAATAGCCATTCGCTATTTCTCTTGTGTCTCATAAGAGATTAGCCTGTCTGGCTTGAAGATGTTTTCTTTGACTTCTAGATGTGCACACTGTAGGCTGTACTAGTGCTGGCACTAGCCCTTTACAGACTGCTGGCCCATCTGCTACTTCTGAAGGTCAGAAAAGCATAGCAGGGGCATCCATCTCTTCTACTCTGAATGGCTGTGTCAGGGCCAGAACAAAAATCTGCACAAATAACCCTCTCCACCAGTGAAAACAAGGTTAATGAAAACTTGTTTCTGTCATGGAATAGGAAAGAGCTTGGACATCATGAATTACAGTTTTAAATCAGTCTGCCATTGCTGTAAACTAAGCCAACTGTAAATGCATCCAGCGTTTGTAATTTATTTTTTTAATTAGATCAGGTCACAGCTGGAAATTGGGTGTTTAAAACATTTCAGCCAGTTTGCCTGGTGAAATGTAGAAAAATCTGAAAATAAAATGTCAGCAGCTTCCTGAGTTTATGGTGCATACAGATAATGGTTAAGAGAAATACAGGAAGGTCATTTTAAACAATGTTTTGGAAAACAGTAAATCATGCTCTTAAAATATACCATGTTGTAATGAGATTTACTTAAAGAGAGCCACTGTATTTTATATTTGTGACTGGCTAGATGAGTGCCCAAAACCTTTTACTGAAACTAAGCATCTTCCATAGTAAATGCCTGCTTATAAGCAGGCCAGGCTGAAAGCTGGCAACCTAGTCTCAGTTCAGAAGCAAAATTGTTATATTTGTAAAAATAAAAATCTCTTTGCATTTCTCAAGGAATGGGCTAAATACTGGATATTCATTGTTTTGGCTTTGATTTCTTAGGGGCGCACTGATAGAGGGTTTTTTGAGCTGATATCAATAGCCAATTTTTAAGGAGGCATATTGGTCAATAGCGATCCAATTTCCCATACACAGCCTGGCAGCTTGAAGAGCAGCGTAGGCTAGTAAGTCTGTTGTGGTGGAAGGGGAGGGGGAAGGGAACAGGCATGGGAGGGGCCAGATTGAGGTCCCCTGTGGTGAGGGAGGGAGTGGGGCTGGGGCAGGGGCGGGGTATGGGACAGAGCCATGGCTCATCCAGGGAGTGCGGGGAGGATGGCTCCTGCCGCTGCATGGTGTACCGCCAGAACTGTATGTGGGGTGAGGGCAGGCTGGGACTGGGGCTGCGCTGGGCTCTTCCTGGTGGGGGCTGGGCCAAGCAGCAGCGGTGCTGGGAGGAGGGCTATGAAGGGGGCTGCAGCCACCCCAAAATTCACCGCAGCCCCCCCATCCCCCTCTTCTAGCACCACCACCCACCCCACCCTGAGCACAGCCCAGCCCAGCCCAGGCCCCACCAGGAAGTGGCCACCACAGCCTTGGCTTCATCCCACAGCAGCAGCCCACCCCACCCCACACAGATCCGGGGGCACAGGCCCCCCATGTCCTCCCAGAGTGTGCACAGTGGCATGGGCTGCCACCCTCCTCCCTGCACCCCCTGGATGAGTTGCTCATGGCTCCATCCTGCACTCCACCCCACCCCGGCTGTGTAGCACCTGCTCCAGCCCCACTCCCTCCTTCACTGAGGGGGCCTCAATCTGCACCCCCCATGTCCCTTCCCTCCCCCCTCCTCTTCCACCACAGCAGACTTACCAGCTGTACACAGCTCTCCAAGCTGCTGGGCTGTGCTCCTTGCTGCTTATGTGCTGTACTGTGCTGTGGCTGTGCACATGCATCGGCCACATTGGGCAAAAAAAGCTAATTTCCAATACAGTCAATTTTCTTTATATTGGTGCCAATCCGATATCTGACTGATGTACTGGTGCACCTCTATTATTTTTTGCTCATTTGTAAATCAGAAATAGGAAGCTGTGTTTACTTAAAACAGCTAGTTATTTTTAACATTTGGGGGGTTTTTTTTGTGTTTTTTGACTATTAAGTCTAAGCAGTCTAAACTCCACCATCAGGATATTTTCTCAAAAATGCCCTTGATATATGTATGCACAATGGAACAAAAAAACGTACTGGGTGAACAATACAGACTTTAAAAGTCTTTAAATTTGTTCACCATTTATATGTTAGGCTACGTGATATCTCCTTTTAAGGATTTTGTATCCTTTTTCCCTTTTTTTTTTTTAAATTTGCCAAAAGCTAGGATTGGGTAGAAGGTGAAATGGAAGTTGGGAGAAGGAGCAACATTAAACCATAAAAAATGAAAGGGACTTTTAAGGGGTTAGGCCTAAGTTGTCCAAAGCCAGGAAATTCTTTCCTAAACTCTAAGTGTTGTAGCCCAGATATATATAACGTTGGCTTGTGTTCAAGCTCTGATACAGGATCATATTACCTGAGTGTAACAAAGATAATTTGTTTCCTTCCTAGTGAAGCCGATTCATGACATTATTTGAAATTATCCGTTTGTGGTTCAATAAATAATATTTTTCCATGTTGGCAAAAATACTGTTCCCCTGACAAGTCTGTGATCCTAAAGTAGAAAGTAGGTTGTTTATATATTGAAGCATTTTGTGCATTCAGTACCATAAAATTACTAAACTTTTTAGTCATTTAAACTCATGAAGTGTCAGATCTTGCATGCCTTCCATACAGTGGGAGCTTTCAGGAATCAAGGGATGTCGGATCAGACCTATAGACTGTGTCCAAACTGGGGAGCGGGGTTTTGGTTTTGGGTTTTTTTCCCCCAAGCATCTTTGAAAATCAAGCCATTTACACTTAGGTGTCTAAATAGCGGCTGAAGTAAATAACTGCAAGCTTCCAAATTTGAAAAGTTTGGCATTAAATGCAGTGGCCCAAACTCTACCTCGCACTTACAGTCAAGTTGATCTTCAGAAAGTGCAACAACCTGCCTATTCCTCATCCCTAAAGCCATGCTCATTATGGCATTCCAGCATTTTCAACTGTATTGCTTCAACTGTATGTTGTTTTTCAGCTCTCTAGTGCTTTACTCGCATCAGGTGCTTATCTATTTCAAGTGTGGTTGTCTGCAGCCTGGTAATCCTGTGATTCCTGCTTAGTGGAATCACAGTGCCCTTTATGGCACTTAGTGCCCTTTATGGCACTTCTTTCAGCAAGTCAAACTACTAGGATAGCTTTGGTTTTTTTAATGCCTTGCCTTTTGGAATGCTATCACTGATTA